GGTTTAGGGTTTAGGGTATAGTATAACTATAGGGTTTACGGTTTAGGGTATAGTATAACTATAGGGTTTACGGTTTAGGGATTAGGGTATAGTATAACTATAGGGTTTAGGGTTTGGGGTTCAGTATCACTATATAGCTGTCAACGGGCATGGTACGGGTAATCATTCCGACCTCCATGAAACCAGCGCGAATCCGGAATAGGCTGTAGGGTACATCAGAGTAGGGTACATCAGAGTGTCGTCATACGGTAAGATTCGGGATCAACAATGACAAGTGTCAGTTGAAATGATCGTCGTGGAATTCTCGACCAGCAAGTCGAAGTTGCACTACACTTTCAAATCTTTACACTAGGGTTTAAGACAAAGTACCGAGCCTTACACCCTGCAATTTCAGTCGTGCCTCGTCATCTGTGAGCAGGGCGGTGATGCTTATCACCTGCGAGTGTCAGCTTGGAATCCCAAAAACCCAAAGGCCATTGGTTTAGGGTTTCGCGTTTAGGGTTAGCATGTACCTAAAGATAGTACAGCACCCGTACAGTGGACCCTAAATCAGCGTACTGATCAAGCGTCTGCGCGCCAATGGCGGGAGTCGGCGAGCCGTAGGCAAGAGACGTAGTCACGAGAGGAGCCTGAAACACCCGCGACTTAGTGTCCCGAACTCTCTAAACCCTACTAACTCGAACTCTATTGAAGTTGCCCTTTGCTCCCCCGACTGGCCTCGCCAAGCAGCTCTTTCGCCCGCACCGTCGACGAGTAGGTCATGTGGCGCAGTGTGACCAGTGCATGGTTAATGCGTCTGGAAGACTTCTACTTCCGGAAATGGTGCTTGATTTAAAGAGTAAACATGTTCCAAACCCTAAACCCTAAACCCCAAAAAAGAATTGACATCAGTTATGTATTCTACACACACCACAAGTGGACGGTCAGCTACTCAGATGCTGGGAGTGCCTACGCGTGCATACGAGTGTCGTGGCGAAGGCGCCAGAGGGTTCGTGGGTGTGCCGGCGTCGGGCTGGAAGGTTTCGGGCTGTTGATGTTTGCGACAGTTTAGGGTCTAGGGTTTCTAGGGCTTATAGGGTTTGTAGGGTTTAGGGTTTAGGGTTTATATGGTATAGGGTCCGGGTTTAGGGTTTAGGGTTTATAGGGTTTAGGGTTATCTCCATTCGGGGCTCTTCTTGTGCCCGCAACCGGTCATAGGCTGAGAGAACCTACACGACAATAATCAAGTAGCTCTCAAAATACTCTAATGATGGTGACTTGATGCACCTGAGCCGAAGCAGCAAGGAGATCACCTTCTCGCTCGTTCTCTCTCTCTCTCTCTCTCGCTCGCTCTCTCTCTCGCTCGCTCTCTCTCTCTCTCTCTCTCGCTCTCTCTCTCTCTCTCGCTCCTTCTCTCTCTCTCTCTCTGCCTAAAAAACCCTAAACCCTAAAC